TAGAATTAAGGTTACGGAATCCAAATCCATCCTCTGGGAACCACCAAGTGAGAAACAACAATATGAGTTCTAATATTACTCCCTATAGAACCAGGAAGTAGTCCCTAAAAATGGTGCAGCAGATCAACCTAGTTTTGAAGTTCCCAATTGCAGGAGATTTAAGAGAAACAATTATAAAGGACCCTCTAGAGCAGATAATTCAGTCTTATGAACTATTTATATCTCTTTTAGGTACCTTTTGTACAACTAAGAAACCAAAGAAAAACCTCAAACTAGGCTCCTCTTAGTTCAGCGCTGTTTGCCACAATGTAAAGAAAGCTATAGTACTGTATTTAACCAAGTTTTGGAGATCAAACACTCAGAAATTTCTACTGCAATATTTTGCTTAGAAAATATAATTTTGCCAATATGTCTGTTAAAAAAAAACAACTTTATTTCATTCTAACTTGGTAGAAACTGCTTTGTGCCTCATGTCTTCCTGATAAGTAAAACATTCTGGCGAGTGGTAAACACAAGGAGTAAATCTTTCCCAGAACAGAAAATTCCATCTAGTCCAATGATTTTTGGGGGAAACTATTACACCACCCTTTTAAATGAGGAAGAAGAAAAAAACATCTCTAAATTGTCACCGGTTGAAATGGAGGACGTTTTCTCATTATTACACGGAATAAAGCCTGGCAAGACCCCTGGCCCAGACTGGATGCCCCCCTTAACTTTTTAAGAACCACTGTGACTGGTGGGCACCAATTTTACAATGCTTATTCACTGTGATTGATTCAACTGGTTAAGTCCATGACAAATGACAAGAAGCTATTGTAGTTCCACCTACACAGCACTCCCCAGCCAATTATAGACCAATTAGCCTGTTGTCCATACCAGGAAAGCTGTATGCTGCCCACGAGCAAATGCAACCACTCAATACTCCATGATAATGTGAAGGAGGAAAAGATGTTCTAAATTATGCCAGAAAGAGTGAGGATGAGGAAGGGAGAAGGCCTCCAGCTGAGATTTTCTAGCTGAGGTAGGACTTCACCTTTCACAATCTTCTACTAATGCTTTTTTAAAAATTCATTTTGGTATTATATCCATTTCCCATCTCTTCTGAGGACCTGTGCAGAAAAGCCCTTCCTCCTCTCCCCAAACAGGAAGGCAACTAGTAAATCCAGAAAAGGGTCCCACCTCCTCAGGAAGTCCTGGTTGGCCACACCTACCCACCTCCAGAAGTAAGATCTTCCCTATGTTGACTACCCTTGTCCTATAGGGTTCAACTCCCTTGTAAATACATGGTCCTGGCTAGCTACAATGTGGTAGAAGGAACTATCACTCATGGATATCATCAATCACTTGTATTTTCAGAGAAACACCACAGTACAAAGTGGTGACAAAACAACATAAATATTTGAGAGATTTATCTATTACATGAACATTATTCTTACGATGCTCACTATAGCTATAGCTCCTGTATCATGAAAAAAGTAGTACAAAAGATAATTAAGCATGAAAAAGGAGGGTAAACATCTAAATACCACCAAGTATAATTTAATCACAAAATAATGTTTGGGATTTTCTTCTCTCTGTGGCTGGTGGTCTTGTTAACTGGCTCCAATTCAGCTAATGCTTGTCATAATTGAGTTCTATGGAAACCAATGAAACTCCTTAGTTACTATCAATTCAGGTTTCGGTTGAACTTAATCACAGCTAACTGGCTGAAGCCTAACATATAAAGTTCTTTTTAAAACTGATTTAAAAAGCTAGAACATTAAAAAAAATTCTATTCAGTACATTTTTATTCAAAAAACGACTTCAACTAAGAATTTTCTCCTTTTCCCTTAATAAAGTGACACCATAAAATGTATTCCCTTTCCCCATTAAAAATGTACTAGTCTCCCTACCTAACATTCCATGGTTGCAAGATTTTCCTGTTAGGAACAGTTGCATATAAATAAAGTTTGCTAAACAAACATCTTATCTTTTTATGGAAGGAAATCCTTTAATGACGTCCTTTCCCGAGAAAAGCTACATTCAAAAATCCATTCCCATAAACTACAGAAGTGAACATGTGAATATTTTTATTCTATTTCCACAGCAGACTGGAAAACCTTCACATAGATAAGGTATGTCTGCTGGCGTTTCCAAATAAACAGTACTCCTGTTGCTTCCTTTCCATATAATGGAGGCTCTTCTTCCTTATTCCCTAAGGATTGATTTCTGCATTAAATTTTTTTTTCATGCAAATCAACTCCTGTGATTAACACTGTTGACTGGGGAAGAATCCGTGCTTCTGTCTGGCTTGTACTAGGCACACTTTTGGCCAAACCTTATTTTACTTGTAGGCAAACCCTTCGTATGGCAGTATTTTTATCACCTAAGTGTCTTGCAGGTAGTGGTGGGAAGTGCCATTAAGTCACAGCTGCCTTATGGCGACCCCCGTACGGTTTTCTGTTGAAATATATAAGGTCTATAGTGCAGCCTTATGAAGATCTGAAGATCACCCTACAGGGGGACAGCTGAAGGACTGGTAGTTAGCAGAGATAGATTAGGGACTGCCCAAAAATTCAAATTATGTCCTTGCCGTCTCCTGATTGGCTCTTCTGGAGACCTCCTGCTCCTGCAGAGCTTTCTTGTTCGTTGGTCCTCCTTCAGCAGGTAGTTTAGACAGTTAAGGCCCTCTCTCTTCTATGTTCTATAACAGTTTGTTCTCCGGCATTCAGTTCGGTGCTTGAACCCCCTGCTCAATACATTGACTCCTTTCTAAAGCCATATGTCTCAACAGCGAAATCTTATATTAAAGATACAAAGCACTTTATTAGTTTCATAGAAAATTTGTCTGTTCCTGCCAAATCTATTCTGGTTTCTTTAGATGCAGTAGCGTTATATACCAATATACCAAACGAAGAAGCCAGAACAATAACAGAAGAGACTTTAGATAAATACAGTGAGTATGGGCATTAATTTAGGCCTTGAAGATTTTTTCAATTCAGTTGTCGATGAAGACATTCAAAACGTGCTGTACCGGAGGCATGTCCAACAATAACACCACCACCAACAACAACACGGGATTCTTTGGAAGCAAGTGTTACATCTTTTGAAAGTTTTGAACTGTTGGCATCAATACATACACGTTTTTGTATTTGAGTTCTGGGTTTTATCATGTGTGAATTGTGCCTTTAAGGCTTTGTAAAAAATTCCCAATGTGATCTGTAGCTTTTAGGAAGATTATTTCAAAGAATGTATGATAAAGAAAATGCAAAATACAAATGAATGCAATGTGTTAAAAGTCTCTTTAAAGGTTCATAGTAGTACTATTTACATTCGGTGATTAGCTTTCCAGTAATATTATCCTGATACACAGCAATGTTCCCCTTTCTGCTTTGTATTGCTCACAGCTCTCAGGGCAAGCTGTTCTGTGACTGGCTCTCTCTCTCTCACACACACAGGCAGTTACTGTATTTTTTGGACCATAAGACTCACTTTTTCTTCCAAAAAAAGTGAGGGGAAAAGTGTGTGCGTCTTATGGACTGAATACTGAGCCCCAGGGTTCAGAATATTTTTTCCCCTGTTTTCCTCCTCTAAAAACTAGGTGCGTCTTATGGTCATTCAATGAAATATTTCCTATGGTTCATCACAAATCTACAGCTAGTCAATTTCACTGGAGGGCACCAGGTCCTAATGTTATGCAAGAGAGCAGAAACCATCACTCTCTCTCCAGACCATTCATAATTATGCTAATCTCTGCCAGGTTTCCTTTTAGTTGTCTTTTTGCAAACTAAGGAAACACAAACGTTTAGCCAACCATAACAAGGAAGGTGTTCCAGCCCCTTGTTGAGCCTTTCGGTTCATTTCTGAACTCTGTAACATTATTTCTGAGATAGAGCAGCAATATTATTTCCTGGTATTTGTATTCCCTCTGGCTACTCTAAGCTAAAGTGCTGGAAGAGGTTTTGCTTTGTTTTTATTTCTCCTTTCCAAATATACTTCTCAAATCCTTGACCATATATCAGTAGACACAGTTATGAGCACCTATATTGGGGAGCCTAGAAAAGTTGTGGGGGGGGTGTGTGCAAAGAAAATTGAGTACTAGGCTCAGAAGATCTCATCTCCTTTCTTGATTTGCCTCCTGCTAGTGTTCCCCTTTGCAGTTAAATCAGAATATATTTGCTGTCCTCACCCCTGTATGTTGTGTCCATCACAATTCCGGATGCCCCCACAAAAAAAGAGATTGTGTTCAGGTCTCCAGTTTTGTCCGTGGGCACCTGGCTGAAATATTTGACATAAACGCTATCACTAACTACTACAACTGATTCTAGGCAGAACTTTGCTAAAGCATCTGGAGATTCTTTGGCGGCTCAGGCTCAGCTACCCATTATCCTTTCCCCAGGGAGGATCCAGAAGCAGATCTGTGCTTCCCAGGTACACAAGGATGTCAGGATGTTGCAGGATGTCTCAGTTTGGATGGGGATCATGGTGGGAAGGGAAAGGGGGCTTAAAGCTTCCCCCGTACCATTTCCTCTAAATGGAAAAGACCCCAAATGCATCTCTTGACCCAGGAAGGCACTCAGGGAACACAGAGTGTACAGTTAGGTGCTATACATTATGTTAATCCACATAGTTCCCCCCCCTTTTTTTTCTTCCCCCATCAAAAGCAGCCATTCAGTGGGGTGGGGAGAGGTAGTTTTAACCTCTCTTTCTCTATCACCTCTAATATTTCCATCCCTCTCGGCTAAGCCTTTGGACCGGCAGACGAAGAGACACATGCACCTCTATCTTTACCTCTGCAGGGGAATCTGAAGACAGATGTAGATGTATTTATTATGGCGTCAAGCCAACATAACCATAACACATTAGGATACAGAGTGTTAAAATCTGGGAAGACAGAAGGCAGGAGACTCAAGGGAATGGACTCGTAAACCTTTTCCTATTTCCTGATTTTCATTTGTCCTCTCCAGCTGCTTTTAACCCTGGGGAGAAAAGGACAAGGGTAATGGCCAGGCCAAAGCAACTTGCTGAAGGGGCAGTTTGGGGAGGCAACACACTGGTAGAGAGAAGGTTACAATCCCTGCCTTAATTACCCACATATATGGTTGGATATGTAGTCCGTAGCCAGTTTGAGTGAAAAAAGTCACAAAAACAAGACACGTAAAAAAGTCACAAAAACAAAACATGCAATTAGCACACATCTCCATTTTTAAACACAATCCTTACCTGACTTTGTGTTTTTTCTTGTCCATTTGTCTCCCCACTCTGAGGCATCACGGTTGGCGGGAGCGGCGCTCGTCGCTTTTTGATTTCGCTGTTTGCAGTCATTCCTGAGATGTTCCCAAGAGACAGCGATGGACCCAGAGTCATGGAACAAGAATTCACTGAAGTAGAATTGGGAGCTGTTGTGATTCTCTGCAAGTAGAAGCAGAACATCCATCAAAATGTCTTCTTAATGAGAAACCTCTAGGCTACTACGTAAATTATGTATAAGAAGCAAAACAAAGATTCCTTCTTACTGACATGATAATTCAGCCTCATGCTCTAGAAGTGACTGCTTACATAAAACAACTACATCAACTGTTATACTCAAACAGATATTCATTTGGGGAGGACAGAAATAGGCTTGGTGAAAAGGACTGGACTGCATGAGTCTATAGAAAAAACAGGTTGCTTACCTGTAACTGATGATCTTCAAGTGGTCATCTGTGAAGTCACACACATGGGTTGGGTGCCTGAGCACGAACCTGACCTCAGAAAGTTATAGAGCTAGCCTCAAATGTCTTGACATGTTTTCTCCCGTGCTCTGGGAAGCAGGCAGCCACTGCGCAGGCCTGGAGCTGAGGAGAAAGCACACTCCCGCTCAGTTCCTTCGGATCCCTGCTGCTAAGTCCTGTCAACACAAGGTAAGTGAATGAGAGGTACCAGCAGTGGGGAAGGCTGGGAGGGTGTGTGTGACTGCACAGATGACCACTCGAGAATCATCAGTTATAGGTAAGCAACCTGTTTATCTTCTTCGTGGTCTCTGTACTGTCCCACACATGAGTGATTAGTGAGCTAGGTAGGCAAAAGCAGGATGGAGGGTGCTGGAAGACAAAACAGAACAGACAAACCAAGAGCCAGTTACCCATTACAGGCCTACCAGCAATACACTCCCGACAGGGAAGGTCAGTGGACAATTGACTTCAATACTGCCTGTCCGAAGGAGGCATCTCGATGTGCTCTAACATCTAGAGCACAGTGCAACACAAAGGTCAATGGAGAGGATCACGTGGCAGCCACACAGATGTCATCAAGGGATATGCCCCCAAGGAAAGCAGTAGAGATCAACACCACCCTGGTGAAGTGGGCTCGCAGATAGGTAGGTAGCGGTCGCTTGGTAGTGGTTGCATAACATAGGGAGATCGTGGCTGTGAGCCATTTTGCCAGTCTCTGGGGGGGAACCTTTTGGCCCTTCCTGGGTTCCCCATAGGTAACAAAGAGGTTGGGGTCTTGCCAGAATGGCTGAGTCCTGCTCAGGTAAAAAGAGAGGGCTCTCCTTACATTGAGTGAGTACAGGACTCGCTGTGGAAAAACTTGGGAGAGTCGTAGGTTGCAACAGGTGGAAAGGCGAAACTACCTTTGGCAAAAAGGACAGGTCAGGTTGAAGCACAACCTTATCCTTGTGAAAGAGGATGTAAGGAGGATCTGCTCGGAAGGCACTGAGATAACTGGCCCTCTTGGCCAAAGTGATTGCAACTAAAAAGACCGTCTTGAAAGTAAGAAGGTGGAGATCAGTAGTTGCCATGGGTTTGAATAGTTTGCCCGTGAATTTTGTCAGGACTCAGGACAGGCTCCACACAGGAACAAGGGGCTTCTGAGGAGGGTGGCGCTGCAGCATGCCTTTGAGGAACGATTTGGCAGTCCAGTGCGAAAACAAAGTGCTGCCATCTATCAAATCATGATTACCCAAGATGGCAGTTAGATGAACTTTCAGGGATAAGAATCCCAGTCCAGACTCCTGCAAAGAGACCAGATTCAACAGAACATCCAATAAGGAGGCTGTCTTCGAGTCTATCTGTCTGGAGACCACGTAGAGAGAAAAACGAGTCCACTTGCCCTGACAGGTCCAGCAACTGGAAGGCTTTCTGGCATTCAGTAATATGTGATGGACCCGTGGAGAAAAAACTAGGGCATTATTCTCCATGCTGTCAGTTTGAAGGAGCCGGGGTTGTGGTGGAGAACCCTACCCTGCTGCCGCAACAGCAGATACAGAGCCGGAGGGAACCGCAGGTAAATGTTGTTGGATAGGCTGAGAAGATGCAGAAACTAAGGTTGCCGGGGCCACCAAGGAGTTACCAAAATTCAATGGGTCCAATCATGGATGATCTTCAGAAGCACCCACTGTATCACGGGATACAGGGGGAACAGATAGAAGAACCTGCCTGTTAAACAATGTAAGAAGGCATCCCTGGAGGACCCATTCTCAGCCAGTCCCAGCTGAAGAAGACACAGCATTTGAAATTCTCCCTGGTAGAAAAAGCATCAAACTCCAGTTGACTGAAAGCCTAAAAAACCAGAGTCAGGAAGGTCAGATTCAGGGCCCATTCATTCTCATCAGAAACTGTTCGACTGAGGAGGTCTGCCTGAGTGTTCTGAACACCTGGAATATGAACAGCAGTGAGGACAATCTGTCGGTCCAGGCACCATTGCCAAACGTCCATGACACGGGTGCAAAGCTTTGCTGATGCAGTCCCTCCCTGTTTGTTTATGTAGTACATGGTCGCTACATTGTCGGTTGCAACCTGTACTACCCAACCTGCTATTGCAGGGAGGAACAATATCAAAGCCTGATGCACCACTAGGAGCTCCAAGCAGTTTATGTGGAGACATCGTTCCAGTGAAGTCCATCGACCATGGGCGTAAAGGGTCTCACAATGGGCTCCCCAACCCCAGCAAGGCATCTGTGGACAGAAGAATCTCCGGTGGCTTTTGTTGAAAAGGCATGCTTGTCAAGAGATTGTAAAGAGAGGTCCACCATTCTAGGGTGGAAAGGATGCCTGATGGGATGGACAGCATCATGGACCAAGGCTGGTGCTGGAGCCTAAATGATGTATGAACCAGAATTGTAGAGGCCTCATGTGCAGACATGCGAAAGGGACCACAAATGTGGTGGAGGCCATGAGCCCTAGAAGGTGCTACATGGATCTTGCTGGTTGAGTAGGCTCCATCAGGAACGTTTGCAGCACCATCTGCAGCATGGAGGCCCTGTCTATGGGCAGGTATGCTCGCTGCTCAGTGGTATAAAGTCTGACACCAATAAATTAGAGAATCTGCAAGGGATGGAGAGACAATTTGCTCAGGTTCATGCAGAGCCCCAATCTGGCTAAGACATAGAGTCACCCGGATTTGGCCCTCCAGTTGACATCAATAGTGAGAAACCAGGAGACCAGTCATCTATGTACGGGTAGACCATGATCCCCTGCCATCTCAGGGCTGCTGCTACCATCGCCATGCATTTGGTGAATACGTGGGTTGTGGCTGAGAGGCCGAAGGGGAGTATCCGATATTGGTAGTGCTGCTGTCCCACTGCAAAATGGAAAAAGCGGTGGTGATGTGGTTGGATGGTGATGTGAAAATAAGCATCATGCAGGTTAATGGATGCTAGCCAAGCATTTGCAGGGATGAGAGGGAGAATTCCCTGCAGAGTGACCATTTGGAACTTGGGGCATCTGATGCGTTGGCTGAGACTTCAGAGATCCATTATCAGGTGCTTCCCCCAATCCTGCTTGGGGACGACAAAGTACCTGGAATAGAAGCCCATGTGGTGGGCAGCTCGGGATACCTCCTTAATGGTTTCCTTGGAGAGGAGGGTTTTTACTTCATCAAGGAGGAAGTGGGATGGGGGAGTGGGCACGAAGTGTGGAATGTGGGGTAGAGAAGAGAACTCTATGGCATACCCCACCTGAATGATGATGAGAATCCATATGTCAGAGGTTATTGCATCCCAAGTTGGATGGAATGGATGGAGTCTGGTGCCCACAGGTCTGGAGTAAGGAGGGGTGGGGTGAGTTCACAGTAATCGGTAAAGTCAAAGAGACTGCTTAGGAGTCTGTGATGGCCGTTTGGTGGTCTGTTTCTTAGGCCTTGCACAGTAGAGTTACTTAAAAGAAGCCAGCTTCTTTTTCCAAGCATCAGGTGGTTGAGGAGATTGTTGCTGCTTGGGATAAGGTACCTTCCATTATCAAGATTTAAAAAGGCACAGGATGGGCTGTGTTACCCCCAGGTTCTTGGCCCTCTTCCTATTGCAATCAACTGCTGTCAAAGTCTCATCGATGGTGGAGTGAAAGAGACCATCCCCATCAAATGGCAAGTCCTGAATCGGCCCGCAGAGCACAAAAGGGGCCCGAATGGGCCATTTTCAGGGGTGCATTTGGTTCGGACGAACTGAATGCACATCCCTAGTCAGTGTGGTAAGCATTCCGGTAATGGTGACCTGAAGACCTTGAAGGTGAATGAGCATAAGGTTCGTAGGAGCACTCAGGTCACAGGCACGGTCAGGGCTGATGCTCTGAGGAAGACCTCGAATCCAAAAGATAATATGACTGGCAGGGCTCACTGTGGTAGATTATAAGGAACATCCATATTGGCTTGAATCATGGGATGCCGACCAGCTATGGGATCAACAAGTCAGCTTCAATCTCAAACAACCATCCTGGTGCATGGAAGAGTGATGATGATCTCTCAACCTCGACCAGGTAGACTGGTTTCAGGTATCATCCCGATGGGTACACTCCAGTGGGGAGGAACCTTGCACCAAAGGGCTATGGGATAAGACCGAGATGATAGTCTTCCCCAAAGGCAGATGTCCAGAAGCATCTGAGGAGGGGCCACTTGAATACTCATAGCAGGCACAGATGCCATAGCAGTGTCAGAACCCACAGCCAACAACGAAGTACACGCGTTCAGGAACGGTAATACTTTTATTGCAGAGCTATAGATGCAGTAACATAAGCACTGTTAAGAATGGCGGCAGCCCCTTGGGCATAATAGGATATAGGGTATTCGTATGCACCCCCCCAGGGCACTGGCCAATTAGGCACCCTCCCGCGTGCGGGATAAAGCTAAAGCTGAGAACCAACACTCTCCCACGGCACCTAGGAAAAACCTAGACGATACAACTCCCTCCTGCACATCTGTATAGATAAGCATTTTGGCGCAAAGCAGAAAAAGCACAGAAAAGGAATGCAGTAGCAATTAACCAGACACAGACCGATCTCCCCAACCCCCATGGAAGCGTAGCTGACAAGCAGCCATCATGGAAGATTTCCTCCGGTCAGCACCAGGGTGATCAGCTGGACAGGCAGGCGGTATTGATGAAGACAAACCATTAATGACCAGTGGCTTGATTGATTTCAAGGGTCCAGCCAAGGTCA